CCCTCACACCCCTTTCAAGACATTCTGTCCATCGCTGTTTCTCTTTTTTGAAATGCGACCTTTGCCATTTGCTAAAAAATCTGCAAACTGGAGGAAGAGCTGCAGGGAGCATCTCCCACCCTGAAGCTAGGTGATGGCTGTTTCCTAGCAGTATCCATCTGCCCAGGTTCTTTTTTATACAAGGGTGGATCGCTGAGATGCCCCCATGCGCCCCCTTTTCCAGAGGTTGTTTCGGGGGTCTCTGCCTGAGAGGAGGGAGGGACTGGTGGCACATGAAAAACGCGTAGAGTATATTTTTAAAAACCAGTGCATTTTGAAAACAAGGAGGATCACAGTAGACAAAATACAATAAGCCTTTGAAAAGAAATTCACTTATAGGTTTTGGCCACAAAGAAGAGTCAACAGTCAGGTGAAGGGTCATCGGAAAGGAGAGATGCAATGTGTGTTCAGCATCTGTAAATTGAATAGGTGACCAAGTTCTTTGGATGACTGGGGCCGATTGCCTTCATCCTTCTCACTCGGTGGATGTACACATGTTCATCCCTGCCTGTCCTGTTCTAAATCTTCACCTGAGGATACATTTTCATCGGGGGGGGGGGGGGGAGAGAGAGAGAGAGAGAGAGAGAGAGAGAGAGAGAGAGAGAGAAGATGAGAGAGAAACATCATCAATTTGTTGCTCAGACCAGGGATCAAACTCACAACCTGGGTATGTGCCCTGACCCTTTGGGACACTGGATGATGCTCCAGCCAACTGAGCCACACCAGTCAGGGCCTGCCTGCCTTTCCTTTAGGTTCAAGGAGAGGGACATGGAGCTAGGAAGGGAGAGGTTTTATATTGATCATAGCACTTTCCACTACTGAAATAATGCTTGTTGCTCACTTCCCCTGGCCCGTCTCCCCTGGCCCCTGAAGAAAGCAAGCCTTGTGAGGGCCTCACTTTGTCCCTAATAGCCCCCAAACCTAACACTGTGCTTGTGTGACAGGCAGATCCCTTTGGCACCCAAAAGCCCTTCCCTCTCTGCCCACCTGTAGCTGGGCAAACATCTCCCTCAAATGGAGCTGGACTGGCCTCCCTGCAGCCCTCCCATCTGCCTGGTCTCTCCACTGGGACCCCGCGAGGGCCAGCTCAGCATGCGTGATTCCAGTGTTGCCATGACCTAGGACAAGAGTGGCTTGAAGAGATGGATGCAGTGGGGGTGGTGTGGGAGGAACAGATTCTAGAACTTTTGTCTTTTCCTCGGGCTCTATCTAGCACATGCTATTTGTGAGGGGGAGGTTGGCTGGAATGTCCTTGTCTCTGTTCTTGGGTGGAGAGTACACTGTGTAGGTATGAAGGCCACCATATCCAGCAACTTCTCCCTGAACCCCCGCTTTTCAAACTCAGGAACCAAATAGACTCAGATAAACTCCAGATGAACCGTCACTGCTTAAACTCTTGCTGCTGGCCACCCAAATGAGGATCGTGGGACTGTCCTGACCATCCAAATTCTTGCTTCTTAGGAATGAAATAGATTTGGACAGCAAGGGATATATGTATATTAATAAGGAAGGTGTGATAGTTTTTAGACCTTTAAGTATCTGTTGATTGGGAAAACATAAAATTAATGTAAATTCAGAAAGAATTGGCATTTAAGTGATTATATTTTTTGAGTCACAGAAATCTCCATATACATTTGATTTATATCTCAGATTTTATTTTGTTGATTTTTTGGGGTGCTACTGTAAATGGTATTGGTGGTATTGGTTTTTAAATGTCAAATTCCAGTCCGGCCAGTGTGGCTCAGTGGTTGAGCGTCAAGCCATGCACCAAGAGGTCACCGGTTTGATTCCCGGTCAGGACAATTATCCCCATGTGGGGGCATGCTGGAGGTGGCCAATCAATGTTCTCTCTCATTGATGTTTTTATCTCTCTCTCCCTCTCACTTCTTCTCTCTCTAAAATCAATAAAGGGGGGAAAATGTCAAATTCCAGTTGTTCATTTTGGATATAAGAATGAAACTGACTTTTTTATATCCATCTTTTATTTTGGGGTCTTGCTATACTCAATGATTAGTTCCAGTGGGGTTTAAAATAGATTTTGTAGGGTTTTTATTTTCTATATAGACAATCATGCCACCTGAGAATAAAGGCTGTTATATTTTTTTCATTTCAATATGTACCCTTTTAATTTATTTGTCTTGTCTTATCACACTAGCTAGAACTTCTTCCACATTCATTTGGGAAACAGTTCCATATCCATGTTAGAAATACTCAGTTATGGTGCATTTGGATTCTTAAACTCCCTTACAGCAAATCCAGGGCCCAGAGATAGTAAACTGCTGACCAGTCAGTCTGTCAAGCCTCCACACTGGTGGGTGATAATCAAAACTTAGAGGGTCCTCCCGGGGAGTGTGGGGCAGACCCAGCTTTGCACCCAGAGGTGACTCCTGGTCAGTGTTCCCTGTGGATTCTGCCTTTTCTGAGTTACAGAACATGCTTTTGCTTGGCTCCAAGCCATAGAGTTCAAACTGGGTGTATTTTTGGCAGTTTGTGCTGGGCGGGGCAGGAGGCGCAGGCAGGAGGGCTGTGTCCCTGGGCTGACCTGGGCTGGCTTCTTGCTTCAGGAAGAGTTTATGTTCTGAGATCGGGGCTCAGGGCAGGGAGCAGTGCCGGCATGCTGCAGGGTGACAGGGTGTGGTGAGCAGAGACTGCAGTAGGTTCTCCGAGGACTTCATCATAACGTGAACCATAGCTGTGGCTGGGGGAACGCCCACCTCTCACTTGTTTATTGTGCCTGATGGACTCCTCAAACATCAGTTAGAGTTGAAAAGTTTCAAGGGACAGTCTTTGTCACGGTTTTCATTGTACATATGGGGAAACTGAGGCAGGGGCTTTGTTGATCCAGAAACTCAGGTCTCTCTGAAGAAAGGACATGTGTGCTTGGTGGCCGGGGTTGAAGCCTCAGAGAAGATAAGATATACTCTGTGGGTATGGTGGTTTCACTGTTTTCCACTGAATCTAAGATACAATCAATGATAGCATACACCAATTATAAGATACTCCAAGAAATAATAAATAATGCCAATTAAATTATGGCATGCCAACATGTAAGATGAACCCCAATTTTAAAGAGTTAAAGTGTGAAAAATGTGCATCTTAGAACTGATAAAATAAGATGAATTTATAAAATTAATAATCACATAAAATTACATGTGCAGTGTAAAAACTGAGTTTTTCCTGCCTCTTCTTATCAAATTCTACTCAGGAGAGGTCATCTCTATTGACATTTTGGTGCATGTCCTCCAGACGTTTTAATGCATCTGTAAGTGTATTTACACAATAATTATTGTTGTGAACACCTGCTATATGGTAGGCCCTGTGCTAAGCACTTTGATGCATTTTATTTCATCTTTACAACAGGTTTATGAGGCAGGGATGAGCTGTCCTCACTTTATAGCTGAGGAAACAAAGGCACAGAGAGGTGAAGGCACTTACCTGACATCACACAGCTTCTAAGACGCAAGGCCTGAGCTTGAATCCAGGCCTCTTCGACCTCAGAGCCTGATCTCTTAACTAACATGCTGCATGTATGCAGATATGAGTATGTTTTTCAAAAATGGGCTCAAAAGGAACATACTGTTCTGGGACCCACCTGCAATTTGTTTTTCCTAACCACATTCCATGAGCATTTTTCCATGTCAATACCTTAGGAGCCACTTCGTTTTGCTAACAGTTGCAAAGAATTCTCTTACAACTGTATCTGAACATACGTCCGGTCTCTATAGCATTTCTTGCAGGGTTTTTTTGGTATTGGCAGCACACTGAGGTGATCCATTGTATGCTTCCTTCTCTGATTATTTCCTCAGAAAATTACCAGGTCAATTTCCTTCTAACATGTTCATGGTTTTTATTTTTACGATTAGATTTTAATTCATCTGCAGTCACCAGTATTTCATATGTCAAGGGAGCATGCAGAGAGGTTCATAGAGGTACTGGGCACCAGCTGGTCCCATGTGAGTCCCAGAGTGCCTAGTGGCAGGATGTCCAAGAATGGGGGCGAGGACAGAGGCTCCTGTCTCCAGCTCTGTCTCTGGCTGTCCTCCCACTGGTCCCAGGGCAGGAGGTGGGTTGGGGCAGAATTCAGGGAAGGGGCCACATTCTCTGTATGTCCCTGCTCCAGAGAACCCCTCAGTGCATGTCCTGGCCTCTATAGATATTAATAATAATAGCAATGGCCATGACTGAGATACAGGCTGTAAGCATGATTCGTTTTTATCTTTCAAGCTTAGGGTTGTTGTCAATATGCTATAGATGGGGAAACCGAGGCTGCCATCTGGAAAGGGAAAGGCTTACAAGTGGCAGAGAGGGGCAGAGCTCAAGTGCAGGTCCCTTGCTCTGGGTGCAGCGTCTTTTCTCTACTGGGGGCTGCGGTCCTGGCCTGGCCTGCACACGTTGTGTGTAGAGGACACGACTAGTTAGCTCATGAGGATTTCTGCTTCTCCCTCCTCCACCCTCTGGAAGTGGGGCATGGCTATGTGACTTGGTTCGGCCAATGAAATGTGCACAGCAACGCGTTCCTTGCGGGAAGAAGCATTCACGACTGGGTGTGCTTTCCTGTGCTCTTCTCTCGCTTCATCCGACTTTGAAGCCTCGTTCTGAGGTGATGGCGTCATAAGGTCACCACCATGAACAAAGCCCCCTTCCAACCTGCGTGTGAATGAGAAATGAACCATTGAGCCTCTGAGCTCATTTGTTAACCCAGGAAAACTTACCTTATGCTCACTGATGCACCGTGTCACCTTGGCAACGTCTCGTCACCGCCTCCGGTCTCGGTTTTAGTGCATACAAGATGGGCACGCTTGTAGCCGCCCCACGGCCCTGTCTCAGCGAGGTCTTGGTCTCTGCAAGCACTGAGCACCAGGAGGGAGGGGACAGGGATGTGCCGGGCACTAGCTTACCCTTGGTCCAGGGCCCATCTTGCTGGTCTCAGGCTTGGTTAACAGGTGTGTTCCCTTTGGCAGGTGGCCCTACCCCGGGCGGCGGTGCCCCCTGGCACCTTCGAAATGTCCTCAGTGACTCCGTGGAGAGCTCAGATGATGAATTCTTTGATGCAAGAGGTGAGTGAACACCCGTCCTCCCATCATTGACTGTCTGATCTTTCTGGAAGCCCCAAGAAAGGATTTATGTTGGGGGTTAGTATCTCTCCCCATTCAGACACTGCAGTTCCACTCTTCATCCTTACCCTTCTGTGGGCTCCCCGAGGCCTGGGGCTCAGCCTTCACGCGCTCGCTCTTTGAGACATTTGCCGAGTCCCTCGTGAGCTGTGCGAGGTGCTCACGACACTGCTGTGAACTGATGGGCATGGCCACGCCCTCAGCAAGCTTGGCGTCTAGTGGGAAAGGCAAACACTAAACAGTTACACAAAGAAATGCGGTCCGGTTGGTGTGGCTCAGCGGTTGAGCATTGACCCATGCACCAAGAGGTCGCGGTTGGATTCCAGGGCAGGGCACATGCCCAGGTTGTGGGCCAAATCCCCAGTGGGGGCATGCAGGAGGCAGCCAATCGATATTCTCTCTCATCCATGTTTCTATCTCTCTCTCCCTTTCCCTTCTTCTCTCTCTAAAATCAATAAAAGAAAAAAAAGGGGGGGGGAATGCAATCACCTATGGGGTTAATGCCACAGAGTAAAAAGGCCCAGCTGTTGGTACAAAGAATGGTGATAGGGTGCGGAGGTGGCACCTAATTTCGTTAGGGGCGGGAGGTCACAACGTCCTCTTGCAGAAGTGAGGGGAGGAGGTGGCTGGGTGAAGAGTGGGACCAAGAGCCCTCGGGTCAGGGAGCAGGAGGTGTGATGGTGCTGATGCGGAAACGTGGGGGCATCCCGGGAACTGGCGGGGCACCCGCGAGCCAGGGGGAGAGGAGAAAGGAGGCTGCCTACGATCCAGCAAGTGACTCCTGAGATTAGCCCACGGATGGAGGGGAGCTGCGACGGGGTGGGACCAGCGAGGAGACTGCAGCAGCCATTCAGATGAGCAATGACGGTGGGCGGGGTGTGCCGACTGCGCGGACAGCACACAGGACACAGCAAGGGGCGCCCTTCACGTGGAGATGGAAGAACAAGAAGCATGGTAGAAAGGGTGAGAGGGGAGCAAAGGGGTGGGCGTTTCAGGCGGAGGGATCAGCCTGGGCGAAGGCTCAGGGGAGCCGTGCAGGGCAGCCTGAGGCCCAGCAGGGGGCGGAGTCTGTCTGGAATTCCGCAGAGAGGACCCTCCAGGGAGTGTGTGGAAAGAACCAGGGCCTCCTCTCTGACCTGGCAGAGTCCCCAGTTCTCACACGGCTGGCTCGGTCCCACTCTGGGGCGTCACCATATTGGGGGCGGTTAACTTCCTTCAGAGACAGGACCAACTTTGCAATGCCTGGCAAATGGGGTCTTGAAAGAGAAACAGATTGTGCTGGGGAGACATCTGGCCCCAGAACAGCACACGCAGGTCATGGGCTCATCCATGCCATTGACTTGTTTATGATCTTGGGCAAGTCTTTCACCTTCTCTGGGCCTCAGTTTCCCTTTTAGCTCCATGCTTCCGGGCATGGAGGAGCCCCAGTCCAGGTGATTTTCGGGAAGCACAGCTGGGTGGAGGTTGCTGTCTGGCTCAGGCCTCCTTCGTTCGAGGGCCTGGGCAGAGATCCCCTCCCTGATGCCAGCCTGAAACCAGCCCATTTGGGGCTCACTTCCTGTCTCCCATTGGAGTGGCTGCCAGGGCCGAGTTCCTCCATAGCAACTAAGACACAGTGTGACAGCAACGGCCTCAATATTTTGATGTTTAGAGCAAGCTTATTTAAAATATTTAAAATGTTGCTACAGTTCGTCAGGGCTCTGCGTTCTCAGATTCTCAGATGACAACACAGGCTGACTGCGGGAGGCATCTGGGTGGCTGGGGTCAGCTCCATCTGCATCCCTCGGGGCCTGCTCACCTGCTTTCCCTGAGAGCCGTGGGCACCTCTGCCCTCCTCCCCGCTGACCGCTGCCTCCTTCAGCTGTCTGTCCTCCCCGCCCACGATCTCACCGCTCAGTCTGAGGTTCCCAAATTGGCCTCGCCTCTCACTCCTCTTACTGGAAGCCCCGCCATCTCCATCCTCTCTTCCCTTGGTCTCATCTGCTCCCCCTCTTCTCCCTTCGTCCTTCCTTCTCTTCACCGACCCCGGGTTCCAGACTCTCCTGTCTCCCTCCCAGCCTCGTGTCTCTGCTCCTTCCTCCCAGCTCACCCTTCCAGAACATCACAGCCTCGGCCCTGGGAGCTGTTCCACAGGCGGCTGGGTCCTCCGACCTTGTCTGTTCCATGTGGCCTCCCTGGACAAGGCCGTTGCATGTTTCCCTGGCTCGAGGCAGTAAGAGGTGAAGCAATCCGACTCCTCTGCTCCCTGGAGCTGGTCCAGACCCCCACAGGCCTGGTCCCTCAGCATCCGGACCAGGCCATGGGGGTCCACCTCTCTGGCCTCTTTTCTCCAGGCAGCTGAGCCCTGGCCCTGACCTGGGGGTGATCTCTGTCCCCACCTGAGCAGGGCCCTGCATCTTGCTGCCTCCTGGTTCTGACTCCAGCCGCGGCAGAGCTACACGGCTACGTGTCAGCACTGAACAGGTCCCTGGAATGTTATGTCCTCCTCCTCAGTGCACCAATGGGGAAACTGAGGCCAGACCGTGGAAGGGCCCTCCCAAGATCACAATCAGCGTGGGGATGAAGGGGCTGGAACCCAGGAGTTGGATGGCCAGATCAGATCTTTTCGATTTATTACTGAAATATGGGCCTTTTCCCCTCCTTCCTTCCTTAAGCTCCAGTCTGTTGGCCCAGCACTGGGTTCACCTGGTGGGACGTGAGACCCTTATGGCTCATGGTCCAGTAGCAGAGGGGAGACTCGCAGGCTCTGGGGGCCCTGGGTGTAGAAAGAAGGCATAGGAGGGCCTGGGTCAGTCAGGCAGGAGTGTGGAGCCTGACTGGTAACCCTGGGCAGTATGCCGGCTCCTTAGGCCAAGGCAGCGGGCCTGGGGCCTGGGGCCGCTGAGGCCCTGGTTGGATGCTGCAGGGTAGGCGACGGGGTGCAGGCTCCAGGCCTGAAGAGCTGCCTCTCTTTCTCTTGTCAGTGCAGTGAAGGGACCCCTGGCCTGTCTACCGAGGTTGGCGGCCAGAGTGAGGGATGTGCCTCGAACCCAGACCACATCCGATCTGGGGGGCCCTTGGGACTTTAGTTCCATGCCCATCGCATTTTACAGGCTGGAAACCTGGGCGAGAGAATTGGGAAACTTGCTTGGAGTCACACCTAGTCAGAGGGCAGGGGCTAGAATTCAAACTCCTTCCTTCACCCGTTCCAGTGTTCCTGAGCACCTGCCAATCGAGCGCCAGGCAGTGTTCCAGGCTTGGGGAGACGGGCACTTAGACCCTGTCCCAGGCCTCACGGAGTCTGCAGTTTAGTGTTGATGGGTGTGGGTGGTGAGACAATCTACAAAAATGTACATTATATTGATAATTCACATAAATAAAATAATGTAAAGGAGCAAACACCTCCCCAAAGAAGACACATGAATGACAAAAAGTTAAAATATGCTCAACATCATTCAATGCACATGAAATACAATTAAACCCACAATGAGTGACCACTACACACCTATTAGAACAGCTTGTTAAAACAACTGGTCAGGATATGGGGGAGCTGAGGGGAGCGGACAACGGTGGGTACAACCATTTTAGAAAGTCGACGGCAGCTTCTTAAAAAGCGAATCAGAGTCACCTGCCACATGAGCCAGCCCTTCCACTCCGAGGTAATTTACCCAAGAGGAAAGAAAGCACGTGTTCAACCAGGACATGTCCATGAATGTTTATAGCGGCTTTATTTATTAGATCCCCAAACTGAAAACAACTCAAACGCACATCAACCGGTGAATGGATCAATAAGCTGTGGTACGTTCATGAAATAGGCAATAGGAAGGAACGAACCACTGCGGCACGCGCCAGGGGGATGAATCTTGAAATAAGCAAGCTGAGTAAAAGGAGTCAGATGGAGAACGAGTACACACTGTATGATTCCACTGACATAAAACTCTAGAAAATGCAAATGAATCTACAGTGACAGGAGCTGACCCATGTTTGCCTGGGGGCGGGAAGGAGGGCTAGCGGGGACAGGAGAACTTCTGAGGCTGATGGATGCACATTCACTGTCTCAAATGGGGATGGTTTCACGGGTGTGTTCATCAAAACGTATCAGATTGTACATTCTGTTTTTTATTTTATTTATTTTTTCATTTGAAGGTCTAATTGGCTTTATTGAACAATTCATGAATTGAGGTGCTCTCTCAAATTGTACATTTTAAATGTGTATGCTTAATTGAATGTTGATGATATCTCAGTAATACTGTTAAAAATGGGACGACACCCCCCAATATAACACGAGGGGACGTGATAGAGTGACTCAGTGACTGCAGGAAGCCCACAGAAGTGGCCTTGAGCTGAGAGCTGAATTACAAGAAATGAACCGCGTGGGAATCTGGGGGACAGTGCTGTGGACAGTGGAGCAGCCAGCGCGAAGCCCTTGCCAGAGGAACGGACGGGAAGGCGGGTGTGCTAAGCGTGAGCAAGGGGCGCCCACTCAGTGTCGTTGGCCCCTGCCCGGTAAGGGAGGGAGAACAGACCCACCCCAGTGGCCTCAGGACATGCTCTCCTGCCCAGGCTCAGGGGTGGCCCTGGGTGCGCCTGCCTGAAGAGACCAGAAACTCAGAATTCAGGACCCCTGGTGCACGACCAATCCGCACAATGGAAGCGTGCCCGAGCCTTGAGTGACTGTGCTTTCGCTGGGTGCTGCAGATTGCGGGGTGACCGGTGGCCTGGCCAGAAGCCGTGGCTAAGAAGAGCTCAGCAGGCCCAGGAGGGACAGCCCAGATGTCACATGGTTCCCGGCTATGAAATGCTGAGTTCTGGAGAGAAAATGAAAATGTTCTTTTTAAATGTTTTAGATAGTAGTTCCCAGCCTTTTCTTTTTTCCTTTTATTTTGTCTCTTAAATATGATTTTATTGATTTTTTGTGTTTAGAGAGAAAGGGAGGGAGAGAGAGATAGAAACATCGATGTGAG